GCCTCCCACGTAGAGGCGCGCGCCCAGGGCCAGCAGTGCCAAGCACTGCTCGCGCTCCAGTGGCTGCCGTGCTGCCTCCAGCACACGCCGCACCAGGCCCTGCTTCACGCTCGCAGGGTAGGACGAAGTCACCACTGCCTCCAAGATCTTGTCCATGACTGCCAAGCTGCGGTAAACAGAAAGCGGGGTCACCGCCTGTCCAACAGGCCTGGGATCCAGGTTCCCTAAGTGCTGAGATGTGAGGCCTCACTTTTCTCATCTGTGAAATGGGCTAAGGGCACCTACCTTGCTGCAAGAAATGGTGCCGAAGTACAGCACGGTGCACCACACAGTAAACCCCAGGGAGTCGCAGCTCTCGCTGCTGAGCACCTTCAATCACACAAAGCAATATAAGCCTATTCCCGTACCAACCTCAACCCTTTGGCCTTCGCACCCCAGGACCTTCCTGGCGACCTTGCGATTCCTGGGGCACCACTTAGGTGTGGAGCTAGAAGCTGCTGTGCAATGAGATGGTCCACTGGGGGAAAAAAACCAAACTGGCCCGCAGGGAGGGCCAGTCAGGGCAGCGGAGGGGCTTCAGGCTCCCTCACAGCTCCGTACTGCCCCCACCCAGTGCCGCATTGCCCTTTCCAAAATTACTCACGCCTTTGCAAGGTGCTGCCTGCTTGCGCTGCGGACACACCCTAACCAGCACTACCACCGCACACAGACACGCACACACACCTGCAAACTCTTTCTAAACCCTAAAACGCCTGCCCTAGTTGAGTCCATCCTCTACCCTAGATTCTTATACCCACCTGGAGCCCATTCCTCCATTACAGCCACAATCCCTTCAAGCCAGGAAGGCCGAGCATTTCGCCTGCGCTCTGACTGCCCAGCACTACACACCCAGGGCCCTGCCTATTTCTCCAGCCTCAGCCCACACCAGCCCTTGGTCTCGCCTCACTGTTTTCTCTGCCCCTGGACCTTTGTGAAAGGTCTTCCCTCTCTCCCCTTTTCTTAGTGCTTCAGGCCCCAAATGAAATTCAATTTCTCAAAGAAGCCTCACCTGACCCCCTAGTTTAAAAATTGGAATCTTCTGTCTCCTTTATAGCACTTATGATCATCTGATTGGAATCAGCCTCCCCTCAGGTTCACCACATCCCCAGCGCCTAGCAGAGCACCTAGCACACAGTAGGCTTTTGCTGGATGAGCAGAGACTGAATACAGACTGAATGACAGACTCAATAGCCTCCACCTTACTCCTGTGAATCGTCAGAGCCTGCCTTCTGCCCTGTCCTCTACTTGGGCTGTTTCATGGAAGCTTCTGCCCTGCAAACACCCATTCTGACTCCTGATTCATATGCTGTTTTACAGCCGCCTGCTGTCCCTATCCCTAACTCTCAGCTGGGGCCATTTCTTTGTAAACTATTACTCTGGATGGCACCTGACAGGAAGCTTGGCATATAAGTCGCCCTTTGGGTTCAGTAAGAACTTCTGAAGCTTCACACCTGCAACTGGTGTGAAGACAGATCAGAAATTTCCTGAATAACAGATCAGAAAATTGTATTCAGAACCTGAGATATTTGGGGACCCCAACTATGTGTTAGGCCCCATGGAGATGCTCCCTTCGCTGTCCTAGTTCTTGACGATGTCCAAGTCCATAAGTGTTGGTGTCTCGTGGAGTTGTAAGCGCCTTAGGGTAGGAACCAAGGCTTGTTTCCCCATGACTGGCATCCCCTGTACCTCTTAAGAGGTCACTGTGTTTACAGGGTGTAGCCACGGCAGTTCATTGGTTCCCGAATGCTGGCCTGGCTGCCTCAGAATCACCTGGGCACTTGTTAAAAGTTCAGGTGGCCCAGGTATCTCATTGCAGGTTTCTGTTTGTTCGGGGGTGCTGGGATCAAACCCAGGATCTTGCGCCTGCGAGGCAAGCGCTCTATCACAAAATTACACACTTAGCCCCTCTACTTCTTAAATCTATTGCTTAGCTATGTTTTCCATTCTGTCATTTGGTTTCTCTTTTATATTTTGTTTTTAGGGAATGTGTCTTTTGGTTGCCTGGTGTGTGTTTTTTATATGAAGACTTCATTTTAGATGGAAAAACGTTTGATATCCAGGGCCCATCCCAGGCCTCCTAACCAGGAAGTAGGGGAAATAACTCATTCAATTCGGCTTTTTTAGTCTTTGAGGCTCATCTGGGACACATTTTGGTTACCACAGAAGTTACTTATGCTTCCTGAGCCTCTGTTCCCACCTTGCAGAACTATGAAGACATATGTAAACCTTTAGCATGGTGCTGGGCACATGGAAGTTCTCAGAAAATGTCAATGCCTGTTATGCATTGGAAGCAAAGTCCCAATCCCTTCAGGAGTGTTGGGCAGTGGAGGCAGACGGGTTTTTAAAGACAGAGCATGATCTCGAAAGTGACTTTAAAACTGGTCTCCCAAGCTAAGGATGTGACTTAGGTAGAGCACCTGCCTTGCATGCACAAGGTCCTGGGTTCCATCCCCAGCACTGCCAAAACAAACAAAAAACAAAATATTTCAGCCCTGGTCCTCTTTCTTAGGCAGTGCTTGTGAGAAAGCAGTTGCTGTGCCCAACCTCTCTCACAAGACACAGTCCCTCTTCCCAGACCCCTGGGATGGCCTCCACCTTCCCGCAAGGCTAGTGGATTTAACATGCTGTCAAATCAGGGTGCCAAGAAATCCAGTTACTCAGGCAGCTAAGGAGAGACCCCAGTCGATGACATATTGGCATCCGAGTGGAGAAGAGGCAGCCAGAAATGGAGTTTTGGGGCCAGGAAAAGCTCTGAAGAAAGCAAATCAAAGGACAAAAAGAGCCCTGCGTTCTAGGTCAAATTCATTGTATGTCCTAAGGCATATCTAGGGCTCTCATTTGTCTTGTAAAATGGGGGTAAAGAATATTAGATTAAACCACAAGAAACTGAGCACGCAAAAGCTGGCAATTCCATATCATTTACCAAATATCTGCCACATTAGGTGGGTTGTACCTGGCAGCTAGGAGTCCACACCAGGGGTTCCATTCCACAAGGATTCATCTCCAAGGCCAGCCCTGCAGCCCCGCTCGGTCTGTGGGCTGGCCGTACCACACGAGCCCTGCCTACGTGTTCCTACTCCTACGCAGGCAGTCAGGTCAGCTGTCACCATGGTCACCAACAAACCCACTCAATATTATCTTGAATGCATTCATGCGAAAGGTTTTAGAAGCTTCAACCTCACATGACCCCACCACAGGCCAGAGAAACAAGGCAGGATAAAATCTGCTCTCTCTCTTCAGCAGGAATAGGGAATCTGAGGCTCAGGGAGAGAGAGAGAGGCATGGGGCTTTGGCAGTGCAGGATTAGAACCCGCGCTCTCAGGGAGGAAGCAGCAGACACCAGCATTCCTCATGCGAGGCTGTCCACATTGACTCTGACCCAAGAGACAACTGCCCCATGCCAAATGCAGCCATAAGATGAGGCTCCTCCCGCCACAAGTGGCCTCATTAAAAGCTTGAAACCCAGATTCCCCGCTTCATAATCTCCAGGTGACATTGGGTGAGTTTCCACCTGGCTCCTCAACCTTCTTACCTGGAAAATGGGGAGAGTTCTGAGCCAGCCACTCACATAGCTGGGACAAAGTATAAAAAAAGATGAGGGGTGGGGCAGTCCTGAGTCTGCTGGGCCACTTGGCACGGAGGAATGAAAGAGGAAGGAGACAAGGAGGGATATATGCCCCTGCGGCCAATCTACCTGGCTCTATAAAGAATTTCCTCCCTTAGGCCTCACCCCCATCTTAGGGCTCTACCTGGGCTGCAGGCCCACCCAAGGTCAGCTCCTCTTTACTTTTTTTGCCTGGACTGGTGCAGCAGTCTCCCAGCCCAATCTCCTCGCTCCCTCCCTCAACCATCCTCCAAAAGAAGCAAGTGTCCTCCTAGAAGCAAACAGAATCCAAGCTTTGAATACAGCCCATGTACTAGCCCCGTGCCCTGTGGTGGCCACAGCCACCCGCTGAGCTTCCCGACTCCAGGATGGAGGATGACTGCCTCCCCAACCCTTAGCCTTTCCCAGCCAGCACTGCTGCTCCTGCCCAAGCCCTCGGCTCACACCCTCAACTTGCTGGCATGACAGCCTGGGGGTCCCAGCAAAACCCAGTTTGCTCCAGGGCACAAAGTAGCACATGAATGTCAACATCCCTCCCCCAGAAGGCCCAGATCCCTTTGTTCCTCTCGATGACCCTCAGCATTCTGCTGTGTGCTGACAGATTCCAGTTCCTGCACAGTGGAGCCTGACTCATCTTCATCACTCCCAAAGCACTGTGTGCGCACGCATGTCCACTTCTCCATGCTTGGCCCCAGCTCAGCCTTCACCACCCCTCCATCTCTCCAGCCCTCATCCTTATTACCTGACGAGCTCCCTCCCACCATGCCTGGCTCAGACTTCTCAAGGTTGTCTCACCGCTTCAGGATAAGGTCCAAACTCCTGAGCCTGACTTTCAGGAGCTGTCTCTTACACTAAGCTGACGTGGAGCAGGGATGGGATGGACTTGATGGTGTTCAGTGGGGAATTTGGATGGAGGACTTCTCCCCGACACTCTGTGGGAAGGGATTCGGCCTCACCCTGCAATGCCCAGCTTACACAGCCCTCCCCTCCGAGGCCTTTCCTTATTCCTCCACAATCAGAACTCTAAGCTCTGGCCTCCAAGGCCCCCTTGGCTTCTTTCATCCATCTGCAATATGATGATTCCATGCCCATCTCCCCCTAGGCTGAGATGTTCCTGGGTAGGAAGTTGGTCCAATCCCCCTCTGTATGTTCAGGGCCCAGGGCAGGACCAAGCACACAGATGTCTATGAAAGTGTGTCAAGTGACTGAGGAGAGACAAATGACAACAAGATGAGAAAAACAAGATGTGATGAGAAAAGTACCTTCCAGATATGGGCCTCTCTCTGGGTCCCCTCACTCTTCCCTCTGCCTGGCCTTGTATATCCATAATCCTGAGAATCTTACGTATGAGCCAAGAAAGCTACTACAGGGGTCACTGGATGGGACTAAGTAGCTGTAGCCACTCTACAAATGATTCAAACAACCATGCAGGAAAAAAAAAGAAAACAAAAAAACCTGTTCATGGTTTATCCTCCAGGTTTTCCCACCATAAACCAGGGAGAAGACTTCACAAAGGTGCTGGTGAGTCTGGCTTCTCAGGACCCAGCAGCCACCCTGGCCCTTGCTTCAGCACCTCTCAGATGCTCACACCCAGCCTCTCTCCTTTGACTCACCTGAGTACCAAGGATACCCGAGGGCACCCAGCTGTCCCTCCCACCAGAAAATGCCCTCCATCTCTGGCCTATCAAGGCTCTGGGCAACAGTACCCCTCCAGGGTATTACTGCTGTTGTTTCTTTGGGGTTTTTTTGTTTGTTCATTTTGTTTTGTTTTGAGACAGGGTCTTTGTAGCTCAGGCAGATCTCAAACTTGCTACACAGCACAGATGATCCTCTTGCCTCAGCTTCCCCAGTGCTGGAACCACGAAATGGGATTACAAGCATGCGCCACTGTGCCTGGTATCTCTGTACACTATTTTTAACTGAACTTCTTTTAGCCAAGGCAGCCCTGGAAACACACCCTTCACCCTACTCTGGGAGGCCCTTGTCTAGGCCACCAAATTGCCTCCTGGAAAGAAAGAAAAAGGATTTTACTGGTGAAAAGCAAATGTTTTTTAACTGAAGGGGAATGGAGAGAGAAGGGAAGCTGTTCAGTCCTCAGGTACACACCATCCCTGAAGGGCCACCCCGCCAAACCTCAGCTGGCTAAGTCCCAACCCCTATCCCAGGCTAGAAGGTAGGGCACCAAGCTGATACATCAGGTCTCCAATTTGAAAGGGCCTTTACATGTACCCCAGGCCCAGGATGTTGAGAATAGCACAAGCCTATTCCAAACAGTGGGATCCTCTGGGCACCCCCTAGTTTGTACCCCTGGTCGTCCCCTCCCTCCTTCCCCTGCCCAGCTCAAGCTGAGTTCTCTTCCCCCGCAAGACTGACGGTGCTCTCAACTCTGTAGGGGGCGGGAGCCGGACCTCAATGTACAATTGATAAAGAAGGCTGGGGCCCAGAGAGGGGTAGCTATTCACCCAAGGTCACACAGCAAGGCCCAAGGTGCATCCAGACCTCCTGCCTGCCAGCCTCTGACTCCAGAGCCTACAGGCAAGTCTGGGGTTCTTGAAAAGCCAAAATGCAGACACCCACCTGACCTTTACCACATCCCCAGCCCCCTTACCTCTCAGTGGTCTCTACTTCTGAGCCGGCTCCTGGGTGGGGCGCTCGGGCCCAGCAAAACTAGGCTGGGCCAGGCTAGGTCAGGGCGGGTCCACTGTCCCCTCCTCCCCAGGGTGGGGTCGCCCTCCTCCAGGTCCCAGACTATAGGGATGCTGCTTCTACTGCAAAGTCCAATCTTTCCACCCTGCTCTACACAACCCTGTATGAACTCAGGAAACCAGATTCTTCGGCGCGGCTGCCAGACTGCGGGACGAAACGGGGGGAGGGACCAGGTGCGGGAATGGGGCGGAGCCGGAGCGGGGGCCACCCCGCGAACCTTCGCTCGGGCCGCGTCCCCTTTAAGATCAGCTGGCCTGCGCGCTGGCGGGTGAACCTTCGCTCGGGCCGCGTCCCCTTTAAGATCAGCTGGCCTGCGCGCTGGCGGGGAGGGGAGCAGGGCGCCCTCCACAATACTTCCTGGGAGATAGAGTTCACCTTCAGTGCACTGGACTATGTGAAGCCCTGAGAGAACTACAAGCCCCAAAGTGCAGCGCGCGAGCCCCGGGCCCCCGCGCCCCTGGGCTGGGCTTTGGCCCCCCCGCCCCCTAGCAAAGCTGCACTGGCCGCGGGCGAAGGGGAGGTTGCACAGCGAGGGCAGGAGGTGGGTGCGCCACGACCTGTGGAGAGGGGAGTTGGGGCTCGGGACCTATCGATGAGGGGACGTGGACTCCTAGGGGCATGTGCTAAAGTGAAAGGTCATCTACCCTAGCCTCGCCCCTGGGCTGGGCTTTGGCCCCCCCGCCCCCTAGCAAAGCTGCACTGGCCGCGGGCGAAGGGGAGGTTGCACAGCGAGGGCAGGAGGTGGGTGCGCCACGACCTGTGGAGAGGGGAGTTGGGGCTCGGGACCTATCGATGAGGGGACGTGGACTCCTAGGGGCATGTGCTAAAGTGAAAGGTCATCTACCCTAGCCTTGTCATTCTCATCTCTGAAGTGGGGATGGCCACGCCTGTGGCTGCGGGGTAGAGGGTGAGTTTCGGAGAGGGGAGCGAGATGTGGCTGAGTTGTCAGAGAGGCGGGGCTGGTAGGAGGAGCCAGGCGGATGCAGTGGTGGGAAAAGCCCGGATCCTAAGGGTCTTGACTGTGGGAGGAGTCTGGCGGGTGAGACCGGGAGGAGCGGGTTCTCTCTAGACCAGCAGGGGTATTTGTGATTCCTGTCAGGTTGGAGGGCCTTCTAGGGTTGAGGAGGCTTAGCTTAGGTTGGACTGGGTGGAGAGGTTTGGGGAAGGGGGTGCGAGGATAAAAGGGATCCCTCCCAACTCTGAAGAGCCCAGGGTTCGCCGTGCTGTTTCGTGTGGGCAGGGGCCTATGGATGCCCAGAGCACTGTCTTTTCCTTATTACTAGAAATGTAAGAGGCCATCCCTTGAGCTCCGTGCGTCATACACGTGATCTCATTCAACTCTCACACCCTGAGTAAAGGCGTCACCTGTCTGTTTAGAGGTGAGGAACACTGGGGAGAAGTGAGGTGAGTTGCCCCAGACCACTCGGGACTCTGCTTCAAAGACCCTTCTTTTTTTTCCTGCATTCTAGGGAGGCAGAGGTTAATCTGAAGGGTCAGGAAAAAACAAAAGTGTTGATGCCTTACTGGGTGTGGTGGAGCTTAAGAATCAGGAGTTTGAGGCCTTCCTCTGCTACATAGCATTCAAGGCCATTGTGGACTATACAGTGAAACTCTCAAGGGAACGGAACATAAAGAATGGATGCCCCTGCCCTTTGCAGGTTGTACAAAAGAACCAGTTCCTTCAACTCTTCTGAACACCACTCTGTAAAGCAACTCTTCTTTGGTATTATAAGGATAAAAGGAGACTTGAAAGTTTTTTGTTTATAAATTATCGTTGTGGGGAAGAGTAGGAAGGACATAGGAAAAGAATGGTTGAAATGAGGTACTTGTGCCTGAGGAATACAAGATGAATCCTGAGAGTGAGCCAAGAGGAAAATTCTGGAAGAGGATGGCAGTCTGCATCAGGTGAAAGATACTTTTACTGTGTGAATATAAAAGTCAAGGCAGCGTTGGCGCACACCTGTAATTCCAGCACTCAGAGGCGAGGTGGGAGGATCACTGCAGGTTTGAGGCCAACTTGGGCTACATAGTGAGTTCAGGGCCAGCTTGAACTACAAAGGGAGACCCTGCCTCAAAAGAACAAAACAAGGGGATTTCTTCCTCTGACTTGCCTCTCCCTTCTGTCCTAATGGGCTGCTCACTCCAGGGTCGCTTGTGTCAACTGAATCTAGGAAGAACCTTTTCTTTTCTATCCTGTGGATTGTGGGGCTGATCGAACAGCCTGGGGGCTTCTTAAAGATAGGGACTGGGCAAGACCAGTACTAAAGAAACAGCTGTTGGGCATAGGGAAGTGAAAGGAATGTGCATCCCAGAGCTAGATCCGAGCTCTTTTCATGGTGGGCTAACTGAATAAGGTGAGGAAGTCTTCAAATTATTGGAAGCACATTACTCACTCTGAGCATGGTCATCTTTGAAATTGACCCAGCCATGCTCTGTGCATTCCCTTACACAGCAGGAACTCCCACATACCCCTGGCGGGTAAGGTGGGCCTTACCCCATGCCTTAGGCTCCAAATTCAAGACAGTATTTGAAAATAAAACAAAAAGTTCTGAGAACAGAGGAGAGGGTGACAGATCTTCCTAATAGTAGATGACAGTCTGGAGTAGGTGAAAATGGACTGACCAAATGGAAAGAAATTTCTCCTTCTGTTTCCCGGGATAGAGTGTCTCATGCCTGGCCCTAACAGAGAAGGCAGTTGGCTGTGCTAAGAAGTAAGAATGAAATACTCTGAAAATAAAGAGCAAATGGTGAATGCCAACTTAGAAGCCTAGCAGATGAATGAGATTTTCGTTTATAGCCCTGGCAAAGATGCCAAATTGCAGAGGAAGGAGTGGGCCTGTCATGGTTGATCCATGAAGTAGGGGTAAAATAGTATCTGTTTCATCTGTGAGAGTATCATGGCTGAAGTCCCTAACATAATAGTAACTGCTCAATAAACAGCCATCATTGCTGTTACAGTCATCATCCTTTGCCCAGGAATTGGCATGGGCCACACAACTAGTGAGTGGCAGAGCCTGATACACATGCTAGCTCAGGCCAAAGACCATACACTGTCCTCTCCCCACAAAGCCCCTCTGGTTTTTTCTGCCCATCCGAGTATTTCTGAGACTCAGAAATGGCCCTCACTGTGAACATCCTCAGTGAGCCATGATAGTTTTCTTCCTGTTGTAGTAGCAGAGACTCTAGGTTCAGGTGAAGGCCAAGAAACGGCCTGCACAGTGATCTTCTCCCAGCATGAATTCCAGCATGGAAAGCAGGCAGGCTTATAGGTATGGTTTCTATGGATGGTGAGTCAATCCAGAGAGACCACCCAGTTTAAAATTCTAAAATTCTTCCAACTCTGGGCCATTTTAGCTTAGCCCTGGTTGGCTTCCTCACCCTGTAAAATTCAGCAGCATTTGGGGAAGGAACTTATGAACTCTTCATATTTATTAGTAGTACTGTAACAACAAATCTGTAACTTCCTGAGTCTGGAAATGTGTTGGGTTTTGGCACTCTGGATAGAACTTTTCATCTTTGGTTCTGTAAAGGAAATATTGCTTCCTTTCTTCCTCCTTTGAAAATAGAGATAGTTTTAAAAATACAAGCTGCAAAAAATGGGGGCCGAGGATTTAGCTTGGTGGTGCCACGCCTGCCTTACAAGCACAAGGTCCTGAGTTTGATTCCTGGTTCCAGGGGAAAAAAAAAAAAAAGCCAGGCATAGTGGTGCATCTCTATATTCCCAGCTGCTCAGGAGGCTGAGTGAGGAGAATCACTTGAGCCTAGGAGTTCCAGATCAACCTGGGTAACCCAGCGAGACCTTCTCTTGTACCCCCGAAAAGTAAGTTACTAATATCTTGACATTGAACCCTTAAATTTTCAGCATAGTATTGGTATACATCCACATCTTAATAATGACATTCTCCTATGTAACTGTAGTACTGTTATTCTATCTCAGAAATATAGAAAGTAGTATTAATGAGCAGTTGATACTAAAATATTTCCAGCTGCCCAAAAATATCTTTTGTAGTTTTGGGGTTTTTAAATCATATCTAGGACCAGGGATTTAGCTCAGTGGTGCCGCTGCCTGCCTTGCAAGCACAAAGTCCCTAGTTCAATCTCCAGTACCAAAAACAACAAAAAAAAAGTAATAGAATCTAAATCATAGCTAGTCAAAATTCACACTGCAGGGCTGGGAATTTAGCTCAGTGGCACAGCACCTGCCTGGCAAGCGCAAGGTCCTGAGTTCAATCCCCAGTACCAAAAAGAGAGACTCACATTGCATTTAATTATATCTCTTTGAACAACCCCTTCAATCTAAATAGAGCCCCTCCACCTGTGCAGATATATTTGATTAGTTCATCAGTGTTTAGATTCAGGTTATTTTTGTTTGGGGGCTTTTTTCTCTCTCACAGGGTGTACTTATGATTGCATTACATCAGAAGGCCTGTCTTATCAGGATCCTACTTGTCCTACCAATGCCAAATTGATTATTGGTTAAAACTGTGACAAGCTAGCTGGGTGAAGTACCTATAATCCCAGCACTCTGAGAGACTAAGGAGGGAATATTCTTAAGTTTGAGACCAGCCTGGGCAACTGAGTAAGAACCTGTCTCAAAATTTCAAAAGGGCTGAGGGTATAACGTAGTGCAGAGGCCCTGAGCTCAATCCCCAGTACCTAAATAAGCAAATAAGTAAAAACTGTGACAACCTGATGTCTGCATTGTAAGAGTAAAATATCCATAAGTCTATGGAGTGACTCTTTGCAAGGATAGGAATTGTGTACTCCTGACTGTCTCCCACACCACATCCAATGATGATCTTTGACTGAATCACAACATTGAGGGTTACAAGATGGTAATTTTCTAATTATGCTTTTCCTCTTATATTTATTACTAGATCCTCTTTTTTACAGAATACATTTTTTTCTGTTTCTACCCCCCCTTCTTTCTTTTTCAATAATATTATGGACCACTAATTATTTTTAATTATCATTTTTCAGTGGTGGAATTTGAATCCAGGGCTTCACACATGCTAGGCAAGGGCTCTATGACTGAGTTACATCCCTAGCCCCATTTTTGTTCTTGTTTTTCTTTGTACTGGGGATCAAACTAAGGACCTTGTGCTTCCAAGGCAGGTGGTAGAACCACCGAGCTAAATCCCTGGCCCAGCCCCATTATAACTCATTTTGGAACGCAAATATCCCTAAATTTGGCCTTCAGATCAACTTTTACATTCTTTTGAC